GTAAATTCAACTTGACTCATCCAAATGGTAATCTCCTATAAGTTCATCTTGACTCAGCCCTACATGGTCGGGTTAGGGTTCAATCAAACCCTTGCCAACCCATCCAACCCTATAGGGTTCAACTTGATACCAACCCAACCTTTGTCGCAGTCTTTCAATTGTATTTTTTTTTTTTGTGATACATTTTGAAAACTCAAGAGCCATTAATTTAAGTTGAAAATTGTTTTGTGGGTTATTAGGTTGATATACTTACTCTCCTATGCTCTATTTTTATTATGTATGGACTTTTTTTTAAGATAAAATGAAATAGAAAGAGCCCTATGACATTCTTAATTAGGTGTGATCATGGGTTAAGTTAGGCTATAGGCCTAGTATAAACCTTTATTAATGTAATTATTTTTAGAAGGATTTAAATTAATAAAAATTATTATTATTATTTTATAACAAATATGAATGAATTTTTATTATTTTTATAAATTTTAAGTATGGCTTAAATGGATTAAAATTATAACTTTCATAGTTCTATTAGTAACAACAATTAATAACTATGCTACTTGATTAAGTTAATTAGGATTGTTTAACCACATAAATAAGTTACCTAATTAAATAATTAACTTAAAATACATGGTTGATAAATAATTTGCACATTATATAACATACGGGACCATATTGGCATCAAACTAATGGACTCGTATGTAGTACGTCTAAACTTACAAAGGACCTATATCTAGGGGTGCAACTAGGGTGTGTCCAGCCTGAGTCTAGACCAACCCAACCCACAAATTTACATGGGATGAACTTGGGTTTTTTGGTTCCAGGTTTGGGCTTTCTTAATTTTTGGCACTAGACCTAGGCCTAGCCCTTGGGCAACATGAGCCCAGCCTAACTTTATCCCTACTCGAGACCAATCGAATTATATACATACGTACATGCACATATAAACACATTATTTGTGTGCATGCACACGTACACACACAAATATATATAAGCTAAATTTTAGTGTGTGTGTTTAATTAGTGATTAATCTAAGCTCAACGGGCCAGGCTTCAGCCCAACCCAAGTGTCTTAAGTTTTAGTGTCAGATGGGCTCGAGTTGGATAAATCTGGCTTGACCTCAGGCTTGGGCCTCAAGCCCAATTCTAAGGGTTGGGCTTGGGTTGAGCTGAATTACTATTATTTTAATTACTATGAAATTATTTTACCTAATTAAGTAAATAAATGTGAAATTATTTTAATTACTATGATAATTTACTTAAATGATTTATTAAATATGGTAATTTACTATTGAATTACTTTTCCAAATAGTTCAACTAATTAAGTAACATAATTTACAAAAATTATGGTAATTTTCAATAACAAACACCATAATTATTAATTATATTTATACTTAATAATTTAAGAAATTGTCAATAATAATTTAATTACAATCATTGTTATTTTAATTATTGTGTATAATTTTATAGTAATTAAAATAACAATAATTATAATTTAAATAATTCATTTTACTTTTTTGAAATGTTTGGTAATTAATTAATTATAATTACTTATCAATTATTAAGAGTAATTTTTAACATTAATTGATTAACTATAATTTTTTAAGTATTTAATGAATAATAGTAATTATTTTAGAGTAATTAAATCTACTAAGTTAATTAACTGTATTTGTCTTATTGTACTATCTATTTTTTCTTTTATTATTATTTTACATATATTTTATTCATCTTAATACATTAATGAGAAATTAAATGCATGTATTTGCAAGGTGGATAGAGATAGAGATGGAAATAAATAAATAGATACAAGGGACAAGATTAGGAGATGTTTTTAGATGGAGTTCTAGGTCGGGATGAGTCAGCGACTCATCCCCTCCCACTAACTCACAGGATGTGATGCACAAGATGGGGCGGATGTGCTTTCCGCCAGCCAACAATGAATACCTACCTCATGGCCTCATGTAACTCGAGTGGATGTCTTAGAGGAACAGCCTCGTCTAGAGCCTTGTTCACCCTTTCAGTCTTTGTGGCCATGTATTCCTCAAAATGGAACACCGAGCCTGAGTGGTTCAGTGGCATGGTTGTGGACTCATTCATCTACACTGATTGCATAGAAAATAGAACTCACCTTATAGGATGCAATATGAGCACACTTCAAGGAATCAAGTTCATCAAGATGGTTAATGAGATTATTCTTCTTCTGGGTGCTTCTGCGACCAATTGCTTCATGAGGGAGTAAGGTTGCAAAAGAGGTCGTTGGTTGTGACAAGTGAAAGATATCTCTTTGGGTTGGGATGGCGTTGCTGCCACCGGCGATACCGTTGTGAGGGATGACCAGGGAGCTGGTGGTGACTGTCTCCATCGTCGCAGTTGGATGGAGGGTGGTAGTATATTCGAGCCATCTGTGGGCAGTGAAAGTGCAACTATAGAAGTTGCCCCTGGCGAGCGGATTAGGTAGCATGAGTTGCGACTAACCGCAGACCGAGCTGATGAAGCAAGCAACCATCATAAGGGCTTAAATGTAGTCAGTGTCCCTATTTGCCATGGTTGCTGTGCTCCATTAGACGGATGGTCTTAAATTCTTTATCTTCCCACTGGCCATGGTGGTGGCTAGCGGCGAGCCCTTTGGATTCTGTTTTATTTTCTTGAGAAAAAAGATGATGAGTAATATATTTTATTTTTAAGGATAATTTTAATATTTTCATAAATCTTAAATCGCATATGAGATCACCAGTTATTTATAAATATTATATCGTGACAAAATGAAAGTTTGGGTAATAGATTGTTGCATTTTAAAGTGTGGATACTAAATTGTCAATCGGCCTAAATAACTATTGAGAATTTTTACTAAATATAAGTCCGCATCATTTATGGGCCCATGAATTTATTACTGTCGTGGAACTTTATAATTGGTCAAAGAGAAGAGAGAGACCCGATTCAGCAGTCTAATGCTCATTGTTCAAAGAGAAGAGACCAATCTCAATCTGGAGTTCTAGACCCGTCTGTCACTGGAACTCGATTCGGGCATTCAACATAAAACAGAGCTGCATCTGG